CGCTTTCTTAGGACTCTGGTCTTTTAGAGTTGATACGCCTTGACAGCGCATCTGCTTGATCAAAGGAGTCGTGGAATGATAGCTGATTCCGAAATCGTGGCTGAGAAGAATGAGTGCAAAACATTGACTGTGGTTGTGCTCATTTGCAGTTAAGGATCTGGCAGTATGTAGAATAGTATTCGGAGATCCAAGGGGGAAGTTTGTGAGAGATGACTGCATCAACTCCGGTGTTTGAACCGGCAGCTGTGACGATGATAGAAAAGCACTGAGTGGAAATGTGTCTGAAGTAGATCGGAGCTGAGCATGAGCTTTAGACAATCGAAAGCGTTCTAGTAGTCCGTCGACGAGTGCCTTTGTTAGAAGTTGGGTCACTGGAGTTCGAATGCAATGCATTTCGGGAAGAAACGCGCTATAGCGACTAACGAGGCCCAAGAATGATCTGTGTATGGCCAAATCCGTTGGTGGTGACATATTTTGAATGACTGATGTTTTCTGGATCAGGTCGGCCGACATCTCTGTCCAGAATAAAACTGAGATGCTAGATAGAGACATGAAGAATTCACACTTGTCTTCCTGAATTATAAATCCATAGCCCTGGATGCGTTTCAGTAAGCTAAACAGTTCTTTTGTTCGGCCCGTAATGATAATATTCTCTAAGTATGCTGCAGTACCCGTTAACCTCGTGTTCATCCACTGTTGAAAAATTGCTGATGCAGATGTGGCACCGAAGGACAGACGATTCTACCGCAACAGGCCGCGATGAGCGTTTATCGTCATCTCTCTTAAGGATATCAGGCGGAGAAGTATCAAAACAGTTGATAATTTTGTGGTGATCGGAACTAAACTTATCCCATGGTGGTGTGATCCCTTCTCGAAGGTGTGAACGCTGGACGATTCATCCCAGGATAAAGAGTTACACTGCTCAGACGAGATGCTGCAAATTGAGCTAGTAATCGAGTCGATGAGAAGTCCATCATTGCCCATTGTCTTCCCTTCCTTTACAGATTAAATACAACCTCGTACTTCTAACTCTGTTGGGAGGCTCAAGTGTTACTCATAGAGCTTTCGCTGCAATCGCCAGAATAACTGCGTTAGTGGCGGTGGCCCGATTGTAACGTTACCAAATTATCATCTCGGGGGACGTATTCGAACCCCACCACCACCGCCTGAGTTTCCCCATGGCAGCCCGTTGATTGGTCGCTTTCCCCTTCCTGAAAATTGTATCATTGTGTATTCAATAAAACAAAGTAATTTTTTTAAAAAGTGCTAAGCGAATTGAACTGTTCACCAAAATACATCATCATCATTATCATCGTACAGCGAGATACAGAGAAGCGAGCTTCACTGATCCCTGCCAAGCTCACAATGTACACAAATCAAATGATAAAGCATAAGATGGAGAGGGATTGGGCCTACTTGGAGGGAGGCANAGCCCTGGATGCGTTTCAGTAAGCTAAACAGTTCTTTTGTTCGGCCCGTAATGATAATATCACCCAAGTATGCTAAGTAGCTGACCATGGACTTGGGAACATACGCATTCACGCATGTCACAAAAGTTTACACTTCTGCAAAGCTTTCTCTTTAAATCTGCATGCAACACTTCCACTCGCTCCCCACACAATGCCTCCATTTTTTCCACTATTTGTCCCATCGAGAACGGTTCCACTGACGGAGGTTCTTGTTGTAGCTCGCCGCTATTCTCCTCAACATCCGCCTTGGTATTGTCTTGTCATTCGGAGCCGACCGTTCCATTTCTCCGACCTCGCTCTGCGTTCAACGTGGGAACTCTGTTGCGTATAGGACAACAAACAAGTTTGGCTCGTACGCTGGAAAGTCTAGAGAGTGATATGTGTCGCCTCTCAGAAACACGCATACAGGATCCGATTAACGTCTCCTTCCAATCCACAGAAGCGTTTCAACTGCGCGTCCTTCAGTTTCAATTCAGTTTGTACAACCATTAACCGTGCACCGGTTCTGGTTGCTGTCTTTTGGCGGTCCATTTGGATTAACATTAGGAGAAAGACATTAACGGTTGAAAGTAGGATCGAAGAGAAAATTTAAAATTTCATTTCACTAATTTTGCAGAGAAATTGATAAGATGCACGAACACCATTGTTTTTACGTCACCCAGCCATATCACTCAGTGTCTCTAACCATCGGGTATGATCATCCCGAGGTCCCCATCCAGGGAGCCTAACGGGTCTCATTCTTCATTTCAGGGTACTGCAATCTGTCGGTGGATACACAGATACAACGAATAAGCACCGACACTTCGTTCTGTAGCTGTTGATCCGTGCTGAACCGATAAGACGTACAGCGCACGGTCGACTACTGACTGGAATCCAGTCAAGAAGCGAGCGCTCATCCTTGGCACTTGGCGCCATCCCAACACCGCGAGCTTCTGATACCGAATCGCCTGACACACTAAGGGTGAAACGTGAGGTCGATGTTGGGTTAGGAGAACGCAGGGAAATAATTGAAGTAGGGTCTTGTATGCGTGTTTCGGAGACATAACATACATCTAAATTGAAAGTTTCAAGCGGTCTAGCTAAGGCAGCTTGCTGTCCTATCTGATAGAGTGTGCGAACATTAAACGCCACTAAGTGAAAAGGAAATTTTGGCTTCAAAAATCCTGTTACTTCTGATTGTTTGGCCTTGTTGGTAAAACGCTGAATGATATTCGATGGGTGGCGTAAACAGGAGGCGTCTGGGTTTATTTGGGATTGAGAGGAAGAACTAGATAGATGGGAAAGAGGTTTTTCCAAATGGGTGCCTAAGACTTTAGGGCACTGCAGACTGTGCGGTTACCCACACCGGGGACCCTATCGCTTCAGCTTCTGGTCAAGCAGGCATGGGTATTGCCTTAAGCTGCAGGACCGAGGCTGGTCTGTTTTATTGGATCCCCATAGATAGCCGACTATGCGCAGTGAGACTCAGAGGTTTAAATAAGTTCAAAAAACAGAAACCAAATGAACGATGCTTATTTGTGGTTTCTGCATGCGCTCCCACAGACCGGATATAATCAAGGACGCCTTCTATCACAACTTACATGAGCTTCTTCTCAAAGCACCTAAGACGGATATCGTGATCCTGGTCGGAGATCTAAACGCACGCGTTGGTCGTCGGTCACCCGATGAGATTCACCTTGGTGGCCATCATGGCCTTGATAGCTGTCGTTCAGATAATGGGGATGGACTTTTCAGCATATGCTCAAAACACGGTCTGTTCCCAGTTAGAACGAACTTCAGACACTCTAAGCGTCACCCGGCCTAACTACTCTTCTGTACAGACGTGGAGTCAGATTGATCATATGGCTATTAACTATAGTTGGTGAGGATGTGTGAAAAACTCGTTCTTATTGGTCAACCTGCTTGGACTCCGACCGCGTACTGGTTTGTGCCAAGTTTTCTGTGCGCTTTGGTAGCCGCAAAAAGATGCGAGGGAAATAGCTCGAGGCCGCCAAACTCTCTGACTCGGCCGTACTGACCGATTACCAAAACGAGTTGGCCGCAAGGTTAACTACTACCCGCCAAGAAGCGTAGATCAACACCGGACAACCAATCAAAATGCGACGCACTCAGCCAATTTACACAGTTGTGGCCTAACCCACTGAGCTGTAAATCACTGGGTCTGCTCCAACTCTCTCAAACTCCTCAACACGTGTCGGGCAATCCCGGCAGATCGCGAGTACAATGAACAGCGCCTCCCTCTGAAGCTTGAACTTACAAAGAGTTTGAGAGACTACAGAGAGGCCTGGTGGACGCTGCTTGCAAAGATGGAATCAGCAGTTAGGTGTGGAAACACCCAGCAACTATTCCAGCTCATCCGTGCTACAGGCCACAAAAGACGTTAATGCGTTAGTGAAACAATCTGCGAAGTAGACGGCACTGTCTTCACCGACGCTTGGAAAGCTGGGCAGAGCACTTCACATCGCAGTTCCACCAGCCCCCCGCGCGGGCTGCCCCAAGCAGTTCTCTTGAGAGTGCACCCTGATCACTATCCACGGGACCAGTCAATGCTATTCGCTTTTGTATTTGTTATTCAGTTGTTTTGGT